ACAAAATTAATGTTGAGGAATGCATTGGTCATATTTTGCTCCGATGTTGCAAGCACTGTTCTTGTAACAGTGGGTTGGAATGCTTTAGCGTTCGGATTTAGAGGAACTAGGGTATGAGGAGCAGAGGTTGTCGGAAGATGGTGCTGTTGTCAAGTTAGCACTCAAATGTTATTCCGTTGATTGTGACCTGTGCGCCACTGTTATCCGTATCTTCAGCACCTGAAACTTCGTCACGTTCAGCTGCAGTAGAGAACACGTTGGCGAGGTTGGCAGCCCGGGGAGTTGCTGGGAATGTATTCTTCCCTGATGCCATGGTGAATCCATCTTTGTCAATGTCAGGTGAGCGATGAGGTGCCTTGGGCCCAGGTCAATTTGTGTTTATTTCATCTGGTTTGACACCAGAGGAAAGCAACAGCCTAATCAAAAAAGGCATGGTCCTGGGAAGGCTGCCACTCGGCTGTATAGAACATACTCGAGACACATCTAACAGGTATACATACACACAGGATTGAATGATTCCGGAACGCCAAAAACTGCATCCACTCGCCAGCTGGTGTTGGGGCTGCTGGGGTGGCAACATCCTCTGTAGAAGGTGATGTACATCTGGACAATGCATATTGTACAGGTGGCCAAAGTAGGTTCCCTCACCGATTAGGCGATGGCCACCCCATTGGATGAGTTGAACCAGAGTGGTTTGTGCAGGGCGCATTCACACGGCCATGCCATTCTCGACGACCGGGGGATTCTTGTAGATCACACAATGGCACCTGGAGTCCACCACTCAAGAGGTTTTCCAGATGAAGCCGAGATGCTGCGATTCTCGAAGTGCCAACGTGGAACCATATACCAGATCTCTTCAAAACATTGGACTTACGAGCACGTCTGATGTGACGCAAGTAACGCATTAAATGTTTTCCAGGCTGATGAAGCAAAGGACAACTGCTCATTATGTTGATAGGACAAAACTTAGGCGCTTCAATAACATTCATAATAATCTAATGGTTATGCGAGTAAACTTCTGTACCTTTTCCTCAGGTGATATACAAGCAAGAGCAAACAAGAGCAAATACAATGAATTATGTACAGCGATGAGGTGATAAAACCGGGTCAAAGTAGAATAGCTAAAAACAACGGTGATAACTGCATGACCAATATACATCATGCATATCCATAATTGCGCGCGATGTGAGCCTGGAAGCCCCGTTCATTAGTTCTGGGAGCGTGCCTGTCCGCCCCTGTGGTGAGCGAGTGGGTTAACAAGCTGCATGGATCGGCTGCCCATGTGCGCGATGTTGTGGAGAGAGAGTTGTCTGCATCGAGCTCTCCACAACCACGCAGCAGCAAACAGTCAGCCTACATTCTCGGTGATGCAGTACTGTTCCTACGCCCCGGGCGTCACCAGAAGCTGCTCCCGCCATTTGAGCCTGGCTGGAAAGTGAAGAAGAGTGTGTCACCATCAACCGTTGCGATCAGCCATGTCAATGACGCAAAGACAGTGGTCAACATTGACTGCTGAAGCTAGACTGAGCTCCTGTATTACCGAACACTGAGGATGTAAAGGGAGGGGTGCCTTGAATTGCCTTACATTACTACTGATGTCCACAGCGCTTAGTCGAACCCTGCCAAGAGTGACAGTGATAGTGACGCTAGTGATAGTGAAGCCGTCACCCTGGAATTTGATGGCGGAGACATTGACTTGGTCCCACCCCATAATCTCCATGCCCCAGCTATCCGTCGATGCCCAGTGCGATATTGTTCCTGATTAGTGGCGTCTAGAGGGAGAGGTGTAATAGGTTGGCCAAGTAACTGTCAATGCCATCTCATCTCTCTCTCTCTCTCTCTCTCTCTCTCTCTCTCTCTCTCTCTCTCTCTCTCGCACTCTCTCTCTCTCTCTCTCTCTCTTTCCCTCTCTCTATTCCTTTCTTGATAACACACATATTTGCGGTTGATCACTACGTGTCAATTCTTCTTGAGCTTTGTATTATTAATTCGCACTGTGTTCGTGACAGTATTCCATTTTCCGGTACTCTTGTGCGTGCACACGATGACGTAGGTCGCCATTTTGTACGTGTCATCTTGGTGCGCAAGCCTTTATCCTTCTTCTCTAGCTCTTTTAATTTTAGTTCTTCTTGTGCAAAAGCAAGTGACTAGTCCAATGTCGAGTGGGCTGTGAGTGTTGCATGTTGGCCAGTGTAGACGGGGTAGTTCACAACAACACCAACCATAAAGACATTGTTCTTGCATGTGACTGACTACTTACTTTCACTTTCTTTTTTACCGTATGCCATTCATGCAACGTCAACATAACTGTTTGCTTCTAGCTCATGCTACGTGTTCACCCCTCATTTCTCACATCACATCACCTTCCATACGGTAGATTGGAGCATTTAGCTCTGCTCCTTCTTAACCGGCATTGGCCTCACTTGTTCCTGCTCATTACAAGTCAGCTATGGTTCCTCATTAACCAGCTGCTGTCCATAGCTTGGTATTTCACTTCACAACTATTGTAAGTGTATTGTGGGGATTCCCGAGCTGGTTACAGGCAGCAGTGTGGTGTTGCTTTCAAGCTTGTTGAACATTTGCATTACAATACAAGTTACTCAAAGCAGCATACTGTCTCCCAAAAAGGTCGTTATTGTCTGGGATAAGTTTGAGGGTGTGAGGTATAGGGTAAGAATTTACAAATAACCTCGAAAATACGCCCAACCCTCTGCTGCCACTGAGAGCCAATTCATAATCTCAGAACGTATGCTTTCAATGAACAAAAAAAAAACGGCGCATCGATGCCATTAACCAGTTTTCTCCCCATGTGGGTTGGTAGATTGTTTTTGTTCAAGACACGAAAGTACGCCACTTAAAAGTGAACCAACCAAGTTTGGCTGGGACTTCTTCGTGCAGATTTACACAAACCACCATTACTGTACGGGTTACGCACAAAGACATGACTGATTGTGCTGTCCAACTATCTTACCCACCACTGGAAAGTGTAACATTTTGCAGTTTTTAACATACCAAAGATCTCCAATCTAGTAGCCGGTTGCTTTACAGAACCACAATGGTGTTCAGTGCAATTTCACATGAAACAAATACACCAAATCTCATTGAGACATTGGACTTATAAGTACTTTTTAGGTGACGCAAGGAACTCAATAGTGTTGTCTAGGCCGTTGAACGAAGTAACGGTGACGCATCCTGCAGCTTCATAACTCGAAGAGAATTGGTGAGCACACATGCTCATTCCCTTGGCACTGCAAATTCACAACACATTTCAATTCAAAGAATCATTTTCAATGTTTCAGCAAATTGCCATCATCAGGATGCAATATGAAGTGGAAGTCTGGCCAGGAGCAGTTATATACACTAATTTGGTGTTCTTATGTGTTCATAATATTTCTATAACTACACATGTTACCTCAGTGCTAGGAATATGACATGTCTAAAACTAATGAAAGATCCCAAGTTTTCTCTGACTCATATGCTGGGGATAGGTTATAAGTTAGCACAGCGCAGATGTCACCAGATAACTTGGGAAATGTCTGAACAGGTTTCTCGCAAGAAATAGACGAATGTGACCATGTCAGTGTTTTCCCGGGTCATAATTCCTAGTACTGAGGTAACATGTGTAGTCATAGAAATATTATCAACACCTAAGAACACCAAATTAGTGTATATAACTGCTCCTGGGCAGACTTCCACTTCATATTGAAGCTGCAGGATGCCTCACCGCTACTTCGTTCGTGGTTCTCCTCTTTCCGGAGGGAGGCACTGTGGCGCTATGTGCAATGGGCATGGAAGTTGCAAAGAAGCGAGTGTCAGTTATCATTTCTGCTACAATGCCGGAAGGGATTTGATTCCGCGATTTATAACCCAGTGCACCCAACAGCCAAGGTATTCCAGGCACAAGCAAGTCTGCCAAAGAAGAAGACACCAGTACTGCCTTCGCCTTCTGCGCGACGCCATAGAACACAAGTGTGCAGAGAAGGACTTTCGCTTCAGACAGAGCACGCACTTTCAGGACGAGCTCTGGTCATTCTCTCGGGAGGACTTCATAAGGATCCATACCGAAAAGCGTTGCGTAGCCACAGAGGAGTGCATCGATGTGAATGCAAGGCTAGCCCGGAAGCTTGGCACGCTTCGTGCAGAAGCTGGCCAGCCAGAGCATGAAATTACGCAAGCCGCATCACAATCCCAGCTTGGCGCTCGGACCAGTAGTGCGGCGACATGTGATGGATCCAGTGCCCACCTGGCATTGGTTGTGGATGATTGTGTGCCGGAACGCACCAGGCGGATTTTGGAGCTTTGTTCCTTTGACAGGCACGTTTACGGATCGTGAGCGTTCGAAGGTGATTATGTCTGTCGAGCGGATGGCCTACACGTTGCGCTGGCAGCAGGCCCAGCCTCAACAGGTGGAGTTTCCAGAAAACGAGACTGTTTCTGACACGGTGGGCGACAGAAAACTCTGGAAGCTCAAGCAGCGTGGGTTTAAACAACCGCCGAAAATGTGTGACGATGAAGAAAGGAAGCTTGCGAATTTCAAGGACGATGTTCTCGCTGCCTACACCAAACACAAGCCACCGACGTCTAATATGACCAAGGAGGAACGAGATGAGCTGACCAGACTCTGCAAGGACACAAG